ATCTATCTATCTATCTATCTTAAACATGTTAATATTTCCGATCCAGTCAGATTGCCATCAGGGCTCAGAAGTGACCAGTGTTCTTATTCAGACTCACCCTCCATAAGTCCTCTCTCTAATTCGAGGCGCCTACCTCTCTCATCTTGAAGAAAGCCATGCCTGTGAGTAAAGAGTCTGAGCCGGCCTGATGCTGTGGTCCAATCCTCTCCAGCTCCAGCTGCTCAGCCACTTCCTGCAGCCCGCCCTGAAAACAAAAACACCGTCACTCACTCGAGATCAATGCTTGTAGTCAAAGCAGAAAACCTCACAACAGATCCCAGCAGTGATCAAGGTGTTAAATGGATAAAGCAGCACAGCCTCCGTGCGCTTGCTGCCGTATCATTTATCAAAGTACCTTCAGGTTTTTACAGCTCTTCATGAGGTACTTGACATCGTAAATGACGGGGAAGTACAAGCGTAGAATCTCAAAGAAGTCCACCTCCTCCTCAGGCAGGTTAGCGTTGGATAGAATCTTGATCAGGTATCCAAAGTCATAGCCGCTGTAAAACACAAACACACACACACGCGCACACACACACACGCGCGCGCACACACACACACGCGCGCGCACACACACTTTAATGGTGTTTTCAAAGAACACACAGCAGTTGTAGGTGTTTAAAGATTTTCTCACGTCCAGTCTTAACATAAAGATAACCAAAGTCTGGCTGATGTTTGCCCCCATGTTCGGTACATGCTGCACGTCTACTACACATGGAACACCAAACACACACATGAAGTCACTGCATTCTGCCGAAGAAGATCACGTGAAGTAGAGAGCTGATTTTAAAACAAGTATAATTCCAATAATCAATGGCTAATATGAACTGAAAAAAAGAAGAGACAGACAATATCGGACAAGTCGATACTGAATTCAAAGGACAAAACTGAAAAATAAATATAAATATGATCCAAAATAAATAAGATCCAACAAAAATATAAAAGCTGTAAGTGAAAATGACATCAAGACATGTTTGTATCAGTGTGTTCTAAGTATGTGATCAGATGACAGAGATGTGGCAAAGCTAAGCTTTATTCAAATCTCCAAAGCCTCGTTATTTTTTTTGCTGTGGAGACGCAGCAGGAAACTGATCATGAAATAAACATGTTCAGCAGCAGTTTGAAGAAAATACTGGAGAAAAGACCAAAACATCCAAACAAGTGAAATAATTTAACATCAAAATGTTTCTATGATACGTTTTAACATGTTTGTTGAAAAATAGTCGCAATTTCTTATGTCACAACACAACATGATAAAAATGGAATAAAAACACTTCAAACCACCACAATGTCATGATTAAGATTTTAAACACAGTCTCGGTTAAACACTGACTGGACTGTGTGTCACACATTTAAAAACAACTTTCTTTTCAACACTTTACATTTACAACACTGATTAGTTGAAGTGCTTGGATTAGACATAATGTATATGTTGTTCAGTATAATAATGTTTTACAGGGTTCCAGATCACGACTAAAGATAATTTTGAATTTGAGAGTTAAAATTTCACCGGGTCGTGATAGTGTAAGTGCATGATGATCATTAGGTTGATGTGGTGCCTGTTCACAGCTACTGGTGGTAGAGCAAGTTGGTCAATGATCGGAAGGTCGGCGGTTTGATTCCGCCTTGTAACCCGTGTCATGGTTGTTGTGTCCTTGGGCAAGACACTTCACCACCTTGCCTGGTGTGAATGTGTATGAATGGATTACTGAGGTGGTGGTCGGTGCAGAATGGCAGCCACGCCTCTGTCAGTCTGCCCCAGGGCAGCTGTGGCTACAATCGTAGCTACCAGCACCAGAATGAATGTGTGTGAATGAATAATTGACAGCTGATTGTATGCGCTTTGAGTTACTCCTTGAGTAAGAAAAGCGCTATATAAATCTGATCAATTATTATTATTATTACTGTGTTTCCCACCGTGCTTGAAAACAGTAGTTTTTCTTCTTTACTGGTTCAGTCAATCTGTCTGATGTGTGAAACTATTCATTTCACCTTTACTGTGTTCCAATCACAAAACTATCTTTAGCAGCTTATTAAAAAAAACAAAAAATAAAATGGGAAAAAGAGAGGCAGGTGGAGAGGGAGACATCTGACTCTGACACACCTGATGATCAGGGAGCAGAGACTTTACAACTGAGGCTGCATTTTGATTTTTTTTTCTTTTCTACTGTAAGTACGTTCTACAGCCCCCTTCACAAAGTACGTACTGTTTCATGCAGTACACACATAAGTGGGACATACTACTTCATCGTATTAAAGCGACTTAAACTTTACCCATCCCAGTCTGCAGCGTGAAACGAGCTGTCATCTGTCTGTGCACCGTCAGCAGCTTAAGCTGGTGTATATTCATGTGCAACACTGTGACTTGTGTGACGTAACTCTGCAAAGGATTGTAGGTCAGAACGGCAAGCAAAGCATGCTGGCTCGCATACTGCAAAATCCACCCGCATGTAGGAGGACATCCGGCTGTACATTTGACATACTATGTCCTGGGACGCACTAAATCTTTTTCTGGCCGACTATATAGTACTGAAGTGTGGACAGTGGAATGTAGGTCGAGTTAGTGAAGAAGAAAAAGTAGCTTACTACATTCAATCAAAAATAATGAGCGCTGTGGTTGAAAAATTAAACAAACATTAACAGCAACTATGACTTACCCATAAATAAATGAACATGACTGACTGCAGTGCTGACGTTTAAAATACACTCCGCTAGTGGAAAGGTTTGCTCAAAGAAAACAACCCATGTAAAGACAGTCACTTCAACTTGGGCGAATCTGACAACAGAACGCCATATTTCACTATTTTGAACAAATTTTCGGTCACACAGCTGTCTGAGCTACTGCACTGCAGCTGCCTGGCTAACATGCATGTGAGGCGTTTAGAGAATATCGGTTAGTTGTAGCGTCTCTCCATTAGCAGATGTTCAGCAGGTGAGGAGTTTAGCCTGTGCACAGTAAATAGGAGTGATACCAAACAGCCTCCAGGAAAAGACAAGTTATTTGTTTAGATTTTAAGAATATTAAGTGTAACTAACAAGCTTTACATCAATGTAAAAGGAGTTTATGTAAAGATAAGTACCGTAAATTCCGGACTATAAGCTGCTACGTTTTTTTTCACACGCTTTGAACACTGCAGCTTAAACAATGATGTGGCTAATTTATGGATTTTTACAAATTTGCCTCAAGACGAAAGTGACATTGAGAGCGACAACGAAAGAGAGACTGAGGAAGTAATTCTGAAGATGTTCAATTCCGACACTGAAGAAGACGACTTTAGTGGTTTTAGTGGCAGGAGGAAGATGAAGATAGCGATCAATGACTTTTCCTGGTAGGCTGCTGTATTTTTTGTGTTTTTTAGCCAGTTTGGAAAAAAGCATTTACGTATTTGTGTATATTACCAGTACATATTTTATTAAAAGTTAAAAAAACCTTTCTGTGTAAATATCTCATGTTACAACGTGGACACCTGCAGCTTACAGACAAGTGCGGCTTGCATATGTGCAAAACTTATTTTCTTTTTAAAGTTAGTGGGTGCGGCTTACATTCAGGTGCGCTCAATTGTCTGTAACTTACGGTATCTATTAGCACACAGGGCGGAATAACACCAAACTACCAACTGAGAAAGAGTGCAAAAGTTAGTCTGGACCCTGTGATACCAAAATCCAAGCAACATGTAGCTGATGAATGTTTGGTTCTTAACCATCCGAGTACAAAACTCTAAGTGAAGCTACAGCTGATGATAAATATTACTGCACAGCCATCTCCAGTGCAGCTGCCAGAATTCCAATACAACCGACTGCAGATCAAATAACTACGGATGGCAAAAAGCAGAATACCTGTGAAAAGACAGCCACTTGACGCCGTCGCAGAGCACCACTCCTGAAGTCATCAGCAGCTCTGCAAAGTAAAGTGTCTCGATGCCTTCGTCCTCGTGCTTCTTGAACTGGATGCCTGAAGTGGTCAGGAGCTCAATGGAGTCTTGTGCATACATATCTTCTCTGATGGGAAGGACAAACACAGAAAACACGCTGTTATTATTTGAGCCTCGAGGGACGGTCGAGTCGATAAGACATCAGCAACGGTGATAAAACAATAGTCTGAAATCTGCAGCTTGTGTCTGAGGTAGTGTTCTAGCAGCGGTAAGAATTTGCAATGTTGCTCTCAATCAATGCCTAAACTGACAATATGCAACTTTACACAGTGGTGTGAGCAATAACTGTGATACGTTCTGAAGCTACATGTGCAGCTAATCACCTGATGTCTCATCTGTGTCGACTGTAAGCAAACTGAGACACTCTTCCTTTAGCTAGAGTGACCTAATTGCTGGTTCTAATCTGACATACAGTAAAGACTGTAATTATTTAGACAGTTACACATTTGTGTTCATCAGGCTTCAGCAAATTCAACTGCAATAAAATATTTGATAGTGAATTAAAATGCCAAGTCTCAGCTTTAAATTATATAGAGAGAACTGTGTGGGAGATAAAAACCCAACACACAGCGTCTAAACTGCAAAAGTAAAGAGATGACAATGCAAGCGAAGAGGATAACAAGAAGGCTAAAAAAGCAGAAAGCTATCAGAGAGATATCAATGGTAGTTGTTTGCCATTTGGGTCATTCTTAAAAAGCAGAAGAAAACCAGGAAATGGCAAAACCTGGCAGACAGACGAGCAGACTGAAGTCTTGTTGATCAGCACAAAAAACATCTGCACAATGAAGAGAAAAAGCTGTTTACGGCTTCACAGCAAGTCAAGAATGTTCTCCAGGATGCAGGCGAACATGTTTCCTAGTCAATAATTAAAAGAAGACTTTGTGACCGTAATCTCAGAGGATTCACCAGAAGATGCAAACCACTGAGAAGCCTCAGGAACACCGGGTTGGTGTTTGCAAAAACACAAAACAAAGGAACGTAGAAATCTACCTCCATCAAAACGACAGAAAGAGTAAAGTGTGGAGAAATGATCCGTCAAACATGGCGATGCTTTAAGGTATAGACATGTAAAGCTGCCAGTAGAAGTGGCATACCATGACTTCACTGCTGAAGGAAGCAGCAGGATGAGTACAGAGATATACAGGAGCTTTGTGTGTATTCAGCCAAATACATCAAAACAAGACAACACCAACAAACGACCACAACAAGCAAATTCTATACAAAATCAAATGTAAACGAAAAAGATCCTACCTGACTCCCTCTGAATCAGCTGACTTTTTGTGCGCAATAGGTTTAATATATTTAATAAAGCCATGCAGACTCTTAGTCGGAGGTTAGAGGCCCTTGAAGCACACAGGAGTGGGTTGAATTTTTTGCATTTTTTTTCCCCCCTCAGCATTTTTAAGGCCTCATAAAATTGCATCAATTTCACATCTACTCCAGGTGTCACGATGTAAACACAAAATCTGGGTTTTGCTCAGCACAAGTTTTTCAATAGCCAACTTCCAACAGCAAAACCGAAACCAGTTTAAAATGTGTCACAGAGTCATAGAAACAAGCGCTGGTACCTTGGATGTGTTATCTGATAACTCACTGGAGAAAACTTTAATCCTTTGAGTGTCAAATCCCCGCGTGGGACAAGTGGTTGGTCAAAACAAGGTAAAGCAAATGAAAGGTCTCATTTTTACTGACATGTTGATAAAAGTTATGATTCCAGCGTAGTCCAAACTAATTTTTACTGTCGTCACATTTACTCAGAGTATTAAAACCGTTATGATTTCTGTGTGATCATTTTCCTGACTCTGCGGAAAAGACGAGTGTTAGATAATAAAACTACACATCATCACCACCACATGAACACTAAAGTAGCATCAGAGCACCGTTTGAAAGACTCTCCAACACTAAAAGCTCCAAAATTGTTTGATTTATATGATTTGCTCAAAAAAATGTAAAAAAATATGTGAACATCAATGTCTCTGTTTCACAACCATAAGCTGCAACTGTCAAAATATGTCTGAGCTCAAATGCGTCTTTTAACTCGGAAAATTCCTTCGTCTTCCTCCTGTATTTATGAAGCAGCTCAGCCCTACGTACTTCAAGGGTCTGTAACTCTGAAAATATTTATAGTAGGACGGTAAACCTTTGCATGGCTTCATTAAACAGACCGACGCACTAATAGATCTTTGACTCAGGAGCTTTCAAAAGTGAAGAGGTGGGTGATCTCGACTGGTTAATGAGCTGATCTCACTGCTTTCCTCTTGCTAAAGGCAGAGAGTCGGTAAAACAAGAAAGAGCTAAAAGTGAAGGCCTGCGAGAGCATCAGCAGGGAGGACAGAAGCTGATATATGTGGAGGACTTTACATAAAATATCATACACTCGATTGTCTTTAAGCCAATCTGTCTAAATGCTTTTGAGCACCAAAACGTGTGTGTGTTAAAAGGGTAATGTCTCCCCACACAGTTCCTTCTGTACGGATGTAAACATGCTGAAATTAAAGCCGAGACTTTATTTCGGAAGCTATAATCATATTTCAAATTAAATGTGCTGTGACAGACCCTGAAGACCACAAAAAAGTGTAACTGTCCAAATGCCTGCAGTCTGAGCTGTATAATCATGCAGTGCAGACGTGTTCCCTTGGAAGCTGCGTTTTGCTAAAATCCTTCATTTTCTGCTTACTGTAAATTCTACTGATATATTTAAATGCATTCCGCGGATGCACAGGAATGTCATATGAGAAAAAAAAACAAACAGAGAGACGAGGCAGCAATCTTACGTGAGGTTAAACTTAAAATTGAACTGCCATGTTGATGTTCCAGGAGGATATTCCCCTTGTTCGTTCATAAATGTGAGGCCCAGCTGTATAATCTTGAGCAAATCCACATTGCAGCGCAGTAACTGGTACTGATAGTCAGCGTTGCTTCTGAACTCTCCGATCGGTCTGGCTACAACACCTGGAAACTCTGTGTCCTGCAAGAAGACGACTCATTACGAACAATGGACATCTGGGCGGATCAAACAGAAGCGTGGGACGAGACGAGGACGACACCGCTCACTCACCATAGCAATGTAGTTGTATTTTCGAATGACATGTCGGATCCTCTTCAGCTCTTCCTCCAGGTTGTTGGCCCAAACCTCACATATTCTTTGGCTGTGATCCACAGTAGCTGCGGGCATAGTGCCACTTCACCCGACGAGGAAACAGAGAGACACAAAGAGGCGGTTTAACAATACATCTGGACCTCAAGAGGGTGATATGATGGACAATAGCCCTGTTATAAGTCATCATATTATACTGAGGCAGCAGGACAAAGACACTTTAACACCTGATCCCCAGATATCCAAGAATTATGTGGCTGCCAACATATTAAGTTGTACTTTTGAGTGCCGGGGATGAACCTGCTTTGGGTATCAAATCACACACCAGTCTCAATACTGAGGACGCTAATTTAATCCGAGAGCTCAGTTGTTTAGCTGCTTACATAAATGTAGACGCATGGAGGAAGCGCAGTTATCAGCTCAAGACTTACTGCAGCAGTCTGCCTCAGACGGTGTAAGATTGTAAATGGACCCCCATAGAATATGGACCCCGGGGTCCATTTTCCGCAGCGGAATATGGACCCCCCATATAGAATATGGACCCCCCTAATAATTTTAATAATATGAATAAATATGAACATAGACAACACAATTCAACAGGTAATGAATAACAACAACCCTAACCCTAACCTGGGTGTCCACATTCCGCTGTGGAATATTGACCCCGGATCCATTTTCAAGGGGGTCCATATGCAATACAACAACGGTACCGTGCTTCGTACATAATGCCCACGTCTGCAGATGGCATTCAACAACAACAACCTTGCTTGCTGTTTGGTACAAAACTGCAAGAGTAAACTTTTCCAAAGAAAATGAAAAGATGCTTGACGAATGTTGGGAGCTCATTCTTTGGTCAGGTGAGACCAAGATAGATATATTTTGTCCAGCATGTTAGACATGAACCAGGTCTAGACTACCACAGTCAATGCACAGCCCTGACAGTCACAGGTCATCATATTATACTGAGGAGGCAGGACAAAGACACTTTAACACCCTGATCCTCAGATATCCAAGAATTGCTAACAAACGATGCGGCTGCCAACATCTTAAACTGTACTTTTAAGTGCAGGGGATGAACCTGCTTGGAGCATCAGATGACATGCCAATCTCAACACTGAAGATGGTAACTTAATCCCAGAGTGGTTTGTGTTGAGTTTCAGCTGCGATAACTCACATTAGCTGCTTACACAAATGCAAGCACACAGTGGAAGTTCTTGGAAGCACTCAAGACGTGCTTTAGCCGCCTGCTCTTTACCGTTAACTCCACTCCTTCAGCAGCCCTCTGTTTTCGGCGGAAATCGTAGCTTTTGTCACAGCTCAGATCATACCGTGCACAACACATAATGCCCACCTCTATGGACGGCATCCAACAAAAACAAAACTGCAAGAGTAAATCAAAGAAAATGAAAAGAAGCTTGAGTACATTCTTTGGTTAGACGAGGCCAAGATTGTTGGTCTCAGATGTGGCCCAGCATGTCTGACATGAACCACAGTGAATGCATAGTCCTGACAGTGAAGCATGAAGGTGGGAGTCCAGTCACAGGTAATCATAATATATTGAGGAGAAAGGACAGAGACACTTTAACACCTGACGTCCCAGATATCCAAGAATTGCTGACAAATACTGTGGCTGCCAACATATTAAGTTATTACCAGTCAACTTGCTGGCATAAACGCAAACACACAGAAAAACAGTAGTTATCTCCTCAAGACATACATATGAGGCACTCCATTATCAGCGGAAATCAGCGTCTTTGTGACAGCTCAGACCATAACATGCACAGTACATAATGCCCACCTCTATGAACTTTGTGAGAAAAAAAATGTAAAAATGAAAAGAAGCCAATTGGGAGCACAGTCGACCAAAACAGATGTGTTGGTCTCAGATGTGGCCCAGCATGTTTGACATGAACCAGGTCAGGACTACCACAGTGAATGCATAGTCCTGACAGTCACATGTCATCATAATATACTTAGGAAGCAGGACATAGACACTTTAACATCTGATCCCACAGATATCCAAGAACTGCTAACAGACTATGTGGCTGTCAACATATTGATTCATACTTTATAGTGCAGGGGATGAACCTGCTTTAAGCATCAAATCACTCTACAGTCTCAATACTGAGGAGGCTAATTTAATATCAGAGTGGTTTGTGTTTAGTTTCAACTGTGGTAATTTACATCAGCTTCTTAAATAAGGGCACACACACACAGCACAAGAGCAGTTACCTCCTGAAGACGTGCAGCAGCCGGCTGCTCTTTAACATTAGCTCCCCCAGCAGCACTGAGGCTAGCTAGGTTACCTGGAGCAGCGGGCAGCTCACAGCCGGAGCACCGGTTGACACGAGCAGGAGGAGCAACGTGGAGGCTGTCTACACCTCCAGCACACCTGCCAGGTGGACACCGAGCTCCGCAGATAAATAAAAGAGTATGAAAAAAGAGGAAAAAGACGAGAAAGTAGCAGCACACACACACACATACACACACATACATACGGCGCCACTTTGGTGCTGCAAAGGTGAATGTAGCTCCGTTAACTTACCGTTCCCCAAACCGGGCGCTGTGTGTTTTCACCGTGTGCTATCTGAAAACCGGTAATTTGTCCTGCGTTAACGTGCCGGGGCTTTTCCGCTAACTTTTTAAATAGTTTATATTCAGTATCGTATTGATGTCAACCTACGGCTGCCATCATAGCTGAGCCTACATCACGACGTCATCACGCACGGCGACGACGTCATATGCGTAGGCGCGTATACATGCATACGTCCTATTTGTTGAATAACTTCACACTCAAATATCAATATGTTGAAATATTTTTTCTCTTTCGTTTTTGCTTTTTAGCAAATTCTATTATTTTAACGCACTTTTATTAGGTTGATGTGTTTTAATAAAATGTAAGTATCTCATCTAATGCTCCTTGCCTGTTTGGTGATGTTTATTATGACATAAAGTAAAGTAACAGACCATACTAGATGCAACATGACCAAAAAGAGACGCGAAATTACCACAAAGACACACGAAATTATCAGAGACACAAAAAGATCACTACTAGATGCATCATGCCTACAAAATGATCAAAAAGAGACAGAAAATGACCATAAATAGAAAAAATTTTATCATAAATTGATTAAAAAAAGAAGACTGCAAAGAGACTCAAAATGACCACAAAGAGACATAAAAAAAACCCCACAAATATACACAATGACCACAAAGAGACATAAAAAAAACCCCACAAATATACACAATGACCACAACGAGACATAAAAAAGACCAAAATATGCAAAAATAACCACAAATATGCAAAAATGACCATAAATAGTAACAAAATGACCAAAAGGAGATAAAAAATAATCAAAAATATACTCAAAAATACCAAAAGGAGACACAAAATGAACACAAATAAGCAAAAATTACCATAAATACTCACAAAATGACCGAAAGGAGACACAAATATACTCAAAAATATCAAAAAGAGACACAAAATGACCACAAAAGGATCAAAAAGAGGCGCAGAATAACCACAACTCGGAAACATAAAGGTGAGAACAACCCTGTGCAAAACTACTTGAATGTCAACTGATTCAAAACTGAATCAGCTCTTATTGTCTGCATCGTTTCTAAACTGACTAGTAGAACATTTCCACTTTAGAACAGTCAGACGTGGCTCTACATGGAAACGCCAGATGGTTGTGAGACTTGTAAGATGGAAAATGATGCAAGCAGATTAGTGGCCAATTAAAAATCAGTGGAAACACAGCGGTAACCAGGAGATATTAAAACAAGTTGTAGTACCACTAATCCACGTCGCAGTGAACAGATGTGCAACTGCTTCTAACATGGAACAGGAGTTATCAGTGGCCAGAGTTTCTGATACGGCTCACACAACAAGAAGGACAGTTGGTGGTGTCCAAGAAAAATGACCTTTTCTTGTTGTTTGGTACAAAGATGCAAGAATAAACTTGGATTTGTTTGGCTTAGATGAGGTCCAGCATGTTTGGCATGTACCTTGTCATGACTACAACAGTGAATATATAGTCCTGACAGTAAAGCACAGAATGGGTCTGCGTTAGTGCAAATGGAGTTGAAGGAACTGACATTTATAAAAGTGAATATACAAAAGATGAAGCTATTTAAATAATTTTACACAGATATTGCACAGGAATGTAGTCAGAAAAAACTTTATGAAGAAAAACATTTGCTGGATTACAAAGGAAAAGCTTTAAATTTATATTTTGTGTTTAAAAATGGGTACATATTTAATATCCTCAGACAATTTGGATGAATTAGGTCCCCCATTAGTTTTCTAATTTTATCACACACAGTATTATTCTTCTCCATATTAATTAGCCTGTTCTTGTTAGTTTTATGAGTGGGCACTTTGTTTAACAGTAACACACTTGGGAAAGACTGTGATCACACTCAAAAAAAGTGACACTATTTAAAACCTCAAAGTGGAATTCTCTTTGCTTGCAAGTAATAAATGAAAACAGACAACTGTATGAGCCACAGAGCAGAACTGTGGGTGCTGGCAGAGCTTTAAGGTCTGGCTAATGGCCAGTGCAGCTGGGCAGATGTTCAGGAACAACAGGGATTGGAGCGCTGATCCCTAAAATAAGGGACAGTCTTTGCCGCCACTGACTGAACCTGACAGACGTTGCAATAAAATTCTGGTGGAGAGCAGCGAGTGCAGTACAAACGTGAAAACTGTTTTTGTTGTTTGCAAATTAGGTTGATGATCAGGTATTAACTGTGACAAAAGTGAGGCACAGCTGGATTTAAACCAAATTGTTGTGGGTATTAAATAAATGAGCAGGTCTGTCATGAATGTCAGATTGTATGTGTGTGTGTTAGTCAGCCAGTGTGAGTTTCTGTCTAGAGAAGGAAAACTGTTGGGCTGAGAACACAAAAGCCTGGATTTTGCCTATTTAAAGAGAGTTTACATGAGAAGACATGCAATTTTTTTTAATGTGCAGGGATTGGATTTCTGTTTTCCATTAGTCAAGCAAAAATAAATCAACTTCTACAACTACAAGTGTAATTAAAAAGGTCAGGCAAGAACACAATCAAAAATGATCAGAACAGAGTGACAGTCAATAATATATTTATTTATTCCACAAGAAAACACAGTTTACATAACTTTGCATTTCGATAATTTCAACAATTTTGGCTCTTATTCCAGCTGAAACAAACAAACAAAAAAAGAGAATCCCGGCATTATAAAGAACAAAATTCAGTACAACTCTGATATTTTTTTAAACCCTTTGACACAGATAAAAACAAGCATTTAAAGCGAGATTACAGGAAAAAAAAATAAAGATAAAATAGGTCATAGTACAAAAATATCCTAACGCGCTTTGCTCGATAATCTTTGCATTGTTCGTTTGCAGGAGTGCACCTCCAGTGATGTGTTCTGCACTATTAAAGTGAGCCGCTTTAATGCTACCTGTGGAGGACGGTCGGCTGGTAGTCTGCTGCCTTTATGCATCAGTTTATTTGTGTTCACATGCTCCTGTCTGCTGGTTCAGTCGTCCGATCACGAGGGCTGCTTATACCGGCTGACTGTCTGTTCCCTTTGGTAAGATTTTGGTTTCTAGTGTTGAAATAATGCGTGAAATCAGTTAAAATTCCACGCTTGTTTCTCACTTCTTTTCCATGATATCTTGTTGAAATATAATAAGTTGAAATATCCACATGTGCACCACAAGGTGTCAACCAGTGACCACTAATCACTAGTTATTGTAGTGTAATGACTCCAAACCCCAGCTGAGGTCACTGTTGTGTGCCGAGTGAGTCTAGTTCAGTCAGAAATGTGTTTTTTGGGGTTCAAACAACATCACATTGGCATTTGAGATGAATTTTGGCTAGAACAGAATCACTGCTGCTCTTTTTAGGCTGAAATCCTGAATCCAGAGTGATCATATTGTGTGACAGCTTTGGAAATGAATGCCAACTAGCACCACATGTAAACTGCTTTCTAATGATGAGCTTCAACTTGAGATTTCTTCTCCTGCATTTAATATATTGGTTGTTTTATGTTATGCATTTGTAGATGGGCTTGATTCCTAGTCACCTTTTTTAATAAATAATTTTGAAGTTTTCAGGATTAGTGCACCTGCAAGCAGGATTTACTGTCTTTGGATCGCTCATGTCGCTTTGAAGTGCTACAAGTCAGATGTTTTTTTACAGCTAACAAATGCTGCAAGTTGGGAGTAAACCTGCCGTAGTGGTTTTTATAGCTACACTTTGACTACTTTTTCTCTAACGAGTTCTCACTGTAAAGCCAGACGTCTAATAAATAAATAAACTGCATGGAAGACCCATAATTCAAAGCACACACACACCTAAATGGCTTGTCATTAATTGCATTCACACATTCTGTCTAAATCTAAATTGTTCAGAATTTGTTCTTCACTTGCTCTTAATTCTCGTAAACTAGCTTCAGTTGGGTCTCAAAAGAATTTTGGTTTAAAAGTTTGTTTCGTATCTTAATTCTTTTCCACCAATGTGAGACGTAAAACGTATTCAGCTACAGTAAACGACTATTAATCAGTATGCAGGTGGCAACAAATAGAGAGTCCACCACACCACATGCAAAGAAAAGTGCAGGAGTGTAACCCAAATAAGACTTTCACAGAAATGATCCGACAGTCAGGTTACCCGATTAGTGTAAAGGTAGTGTTTGTTCAGTGTCGCTCAGTGCTGCACCTCCCACCGGATGCTACGCTCGCTCATGCAGCAGAGTAGGCCGCCTCGTCCGAGTCCGGGTCCCTGGCGCTGTCCTCGCTAAGCGGTGAACGGCAGCTCAGGTCCGCAATCCCAGACTCCTGGTCGCTGCCGTTGGACAAGCCGGGGTCGGACGTCTGGCTGGAGTCCTGCTGCTGGAGGATCAAGCTGCCGTCCGGTGCTTTCGGCTGGCAGGGGCTGCTGGTGATGAAGCCGTCGGTGTAGTCCTGAGGAGTGTTGGCCAGGCCCAGGTCACCACCCAGAGTCCTCACTGTCGGGCTCTTGTCATAGGTGGCTGCTTTCCAGGTGACGGTCCAGCCCTGCTCCTGCTCCAGCTGAGTAATTTTCTGTTGACAATGTAAGACATGAGCATTATAATCATCCTCTATATGAAGCAAAATAAGAGGTGTGGCAGAATAGTTCCAGGACTGGTGTCACAAAAGATAGATTTCAAACTCCAACCTACAGTTTTTCCCTTCAGATGATCAACCAGCACAAACAGATCCTGCAGCTTCGTTTGAGAAGAGGCAGAGTTGTGGCAGGACAAGTCGTGGCTGCTTCACCATGACAACATGCCTGCTCACAAGGTCCTGAGCATCCCACAGTTCCTGCCTGAGAAGAACATCACCGTGCTGGAGCAACCTCCCTACTCACCCCACCTGGCTCTGTGGGATTGCTTCCTCTTCTCCAAGCTCAAGGGGGTCATCAAGGGGACCCATTTTGAAGACGTGGACGACATCAAGATGGTTGCGACGACGGAGCTGAGGAGAATCCTGGAAGAATCCTTCCAGGAGTGCATGGCGGTGTGAAGAGAAGGCTGGGGAAGTGTGTTAGACTCCAGGGGGATTACTTGGAAGGAGAAAACTTGTGGTTTGTAGTTTGTATTTGAAATATATATTTTGTGACACCAGTCCTGGAACTTTTCTGACACACCTCGTACATTCTGCAGTAGATTTTTTTTGTTTTTGTCTCATGAGAAACGAGCTGCGGTGTGAATGTATAACTCTGTCGTACCTGTTTGTGAGAAGCCAGCTGCTCCTCCAGCTGCTGCGTCTCCTCTTGGATGGCTCTCAGGTAATCCTCCACAGACTGCCGAGGATGCATCCCGCGGTCGAAGCGGTTGTACAGCCCTCTCCAAAATCTACACAGAGACAGAAAAATGAATCAGTGAAACAGAGCCTCAGGTAACCCCCATATGTTTCCTACTACTGAACTCAGGGCTGCACTTTTAACATGTGTATATCAGGGCTTGCAGTGAAAGATCTGGGACTAAAACATATTGGATATGTTTGTTAAGTACAAGGCTGGAAGGGCTCCTACTAGTCAGGTAGTGGAGCCCAGTTTAAACCAGAAAAGGTGAAATGACATTTGCATTATGTGTCTGACTGTTCAGGGTCTGTTTTTTTTTTTTAAATCAATGTGCTTAGAGTATATTGTTGGGTATATTTTCAGCCACGTTACCAAACAGATGGTTTTGCAGTATTTCAGATCAGAGAGCAATAATAACACATAAAAATGCTCATGTAACTTTGAAAACTAAATGTACTTTCATGAATTGATGTAAGATTTGCTAAATCTATAAATACATTTAATGTTTCAACTAAATAATTTTACTATCAAAAAATGGCTTCTTGCTTGTTGTAGTCATTATTCTGCAAACTGTGGGTACCAGCTCCTCTCAGAACTGCCCAATGTAGTTGTTTTTTCTATGTTTTTTTCAGGTAAACTTCTCTGCACTTGTATTCACTTATTTTTAATTAGTTACTTTGATATTTGATCGTATATTTCATCTCTTACATGCATTTATTTTTCTCATCATTTGGCTTACTTTAGTTGTTTCAGTCGAATCACTTTTAATTATCATATAAATCTTTGTTATCTTTCGTCAACTTGTCGATACTGTTTTTGACTGATTTATTTGTTATGACTTAAACTGTTTGATTTTGTTTTTTAATCTCCCTGTAAAGCACTTCAGAAACATTCTGCGTATGATAAGGTGCTGTATAAATAAACTACGCTGTGCTGTAAGAACCTACTTGAAGCTGTAGGGGGCAGTAGATGGTCGGAGGAGGCCTTGAGTCTGGCTGTGGTCTGGTCTGTACAGAGGGTTGATGTATTCAGCACGGTTCGTCCACAGATAACTCCACAAAGAGTGAGTCCTCTCACGCACCCTGCAAGAATGTCAGATGGATGTTAATCAAACCCAGATCAGTCAGAAAGGACAAGATATATTTAGTTGTTTTTTTGGGTGGGGGATAGAAATAAACCAACATGTTTTTATGTTACTAGGAATGAGCTGTCTCCATTTGCACAAGGCCAGTGATGTAAAATACGACGTGCTGTCACTTCTCTTTAGCAGCGAGTCGTCTCTCAGACCAGATGTCTGTGAGTGAAAAGGAAAAGAAAGTGATGGCGGCTGCAGGTTTAAATCTCACCCCAGCTCTATCCTCTCCCGCTGGTTGTTGCCAATGAAGTCGCCGTACTGGCAGGAGTAGATGTGGCTGTGAATGGTGATGAGGAGCCTCTCGCTGAACTCAAAGGCACAAGGAAACTGCTCCATCAGCTGCCACACACACTCCAGGAACTGGTCGATGACGGGAGAAACCTCTTTAGGGTCTCCGACCAAGTGGTTGCATCTGCAGATATGAAACCATTAAACACTGCATCCAAATCAGAGATGCTGAGAAAGTAGTGTTTCAGGGGCAAACCTGTGAGAGAACTTGTGTCCAAATGAGATCCAGTCTTTCTCGATGAGAACCTAAGAACAGGAAAAAGGAGATGATTTGCAGCCACGATTAAAGGTTCACATGTAGTACACAATCAATCCCTGCAAAATGACTGAACCTCTTCACCCTCTGTGTGGGGTCATTCTCCTCTGACTTCAGAGGTAATTTCCAAAAGCAGCCTTCTCTATTATTTTTTATTTTTCTTGGGGTATTTAAACTCAGCCTTGCCAAATCTGTCTGATCAGAGAAACAAACAGCAGGAGCCCAGGATGGACGACTATCAACTGAAGCCAGAATGTAACTGGATATAATAACATCAGAGGGTTATGTGACTTTCACGGTGCTACTTCTGAGATGTAATCCTGCACTGCAACTTAAATTAAAAAGCAAATGCTCCGGTGGTTACCATGATTCCTCGGAGGGTCCTGTAGTAGGGATCCAGCAGCACACTGGCCACCGAACACACCTGAGCAGTTCGGTCCCAACCGTCCGAACAGTGAACCAGGACGCTGATGCCTTCCTCTGCAACAGCCTGCAAACACACAACAAACACAGAACGTTGTTACTGAGATGTGCTGATTTCCACTTTTGTACTATTTGAGGCCTGATGCAGCTATAGCTTTAGACTGCCAGGGGATTCCAATGATGTACTGAGCTCCTCACCTCTATTCTCCTCTCTTCCATACAGTTATAACCACTATTAAATGCCACTAACTCTGTGTTTCCCCCGAGGTCCCGTGCTTGTTCTCCCTGCAAACGTCCCTGACCTGCAGCTGCTGGCCTCACCGACCCCCAAAATACTCACATTCATATTTATTGTTCTGTCCTATTGCTTGCTCTCTACCTGCTATCCTGTTTCCCCACCCCCTCATCCCCACTCTCACCCAACTGGTCGAGGCAGATGGCCGTCTTCCCTGAGCCTGGTTCTGCCTGAGTTTTTTTCTTCCCCCTCCCTCGGGGGTGTTGTTGGTTCCTTCCCACCGTTGCTTGCTCAGAGGAAGTCCAAAGGCTACTTTGGATTGTTGGGCTCTCTGTTTAAATTTGTACGGTCTATACCTTACTATGATAAGCTCTATGTGATGACATATGTTGTAAACTGCGCTATACAAATAAAATTGAATTGAATTGATGTAAGAGGTGTGTCAGAAAAGTTCCAGGACTGGTGTCACAAAAGATATATTTCAAACCTAAACTACGAGTTTTCCCACTCAGATGATCAACCAGCACGTCTACAAAGAGATCCTGCAGTGTTTGCTTTATTCAGTGCACGAGAAGAGCCAGAGTTGTGGCAGGACAAGTCGTGGCTGCTTCACCATGACAACGCGCCTGCTCACAACGCCCTGAGCATCCGACAGTTCCTGGCTGAGAAGAACATCGCCGTGCTGGAGCAACCTCCCTACTCACCCCACCTGGCTCTGTGGGATTGTTTCCTCTTCCCTCAATGGGGTCATCAAGGGGACCCATTTTGAAGACGTGGACGACATCAAGATGGCTGCGACAACGGAGCTGAGGAGGATCCCAGAAGAATCCTTCTAGGAGTGCATGGTGGCGTGGCAGAGAAGGCTGGGAAAGTGTGTTAGACTCCAGGGGGATTACTTGGAAGGAGAAAACTTGTGGTTTGTAGTTTGTATTTGAAATATATCTTTTGTGACACCAGTCCCGGAACTTTTCTGACACACCTCGTAAGCGAAAGGAGCAGGGAGATGTGGCGATTTGACTTTTTATTACATTTACTTCTTTATGTGCAAAACTCTAGAAAAGTGATGATTCACTGGTTTAGTCATTTTGGATGAAGCCGTTTGCACTGATGTTGAACTGTACTGTACAGTTCACCTGCCTCTTTTATATCTACGGGCTCTAAGACTTTAATATTCACGTTGTGTGAGATATTGTCCCTCCGCAGACAGACAATATGTGTATCACATACACAAACACACAGGATACAACAGAAACACACAGGGACACACACCTGAGCTAATATTGAGTGCATTGGTGAGGCAGACAGTGGGGATTAGCCTCCAGACTGACCTTAGCGATGAAGATGCCTGCATCCAAAACAGCTTTGATGTGCTTCAGCCAGCCTGAGCTCTCCAGACCCTCCAGGAAGTCGGACATGGAGGGGGAACGCAGCTCGCACACTGTAACCACAACACAGCTGTCTGACTGGCAGGAAACATGGAGCATACCTGATCGCCGCACTTTATTAAACCTCACCCTCACAATACTGACAGCATCACTGACAAATGTTTGTGTCTCTGCATGGTGTGACTAAATATGGGTCACACAAACACAGATTTAATTTATTCGGGTACTCAGTCAGGCAGCAGCTCAGGCATGGGTGATGTCTGTCTGCCGGTCAGCAGGTCAAGCACTTTAGTACAGAAATATCTCAACAACTATTCAAGAGGTTCAAGAGACATTCACAGTCCCCAGAGGATGAACCCAACTGGCTTTTCCATCATATATCCATTTCTGTAACACTACTGGGCCTTACTGTACTGTTTATGTTGTGAAAATGACTCTTTCCATTTCAGGGCTCAACATAAATATTTGCAAGTTCACCCAGGGGCCGAGTGACACAAACCCGTTTCTGCACGGTTGACTTTACATTCGCTGACCACAGTTTATCACATTAACACTCATAGTTCACTTTTAGGAGGCAGAAAACAGCCGCTCACTCATTAAAGCGTCCGCAAGTGTGTTTTTTGCTGACGCCACATCAGCCAGCTGACCTGTAAGAACGCTCTGATAGCAGAGCAGCAGGTGAACGGGTTCATTCAGCCTTTGGTTTTATAACACTTAGGAAATGTTTGAGTTGATGCTGCCAGGCAGGAGGTCTTCGAAATCCTGTTCGAGTGTGTAATTTGGTGAAGAAAGGCCGGACAGACTGAGGAGCAGGCGCTGTCTCCGGCTTTTAAAGACTTCCCTTGTGCTGCCAGGGGGCAAAGAGTTATCACAACTAAGAACAGCTCTAACTTTTCAGACTCGAAATCACATCATTCTCACGCCCTCTGTCTCTCTTTGGGGGATAATGTCCGGGATTGTCCACTCCAGGAAACCAAAATAGCTCGGAAATAAAATCCAGATGGATTCAAAGTCTTCCTAGGAGCACCCCTGCACAATACCCAGAAATTCTCCTGTGGGCTCATTGAGGCCTGATTGCAGCACAGTTCAGTCTGCATGACTGCATATGAAAAACCACAGGGGGGAGCACAAGCTCCCGCTCTGCTTCAGCAATGTGAAGAAGCAGCTGGTTCAAACCGAAAATGTACGTTTTGCTCCACAGACCCAGATGTGGTGAAACACTTGTGACAGTGATGGATGCTCTGCTGCGACCTCCAAACTGTATTTACAGGAATCTTAATTCAGCAAAAGAAATCATCTTCAGAGGTCATGATAATTACCTTCCAGCATTTTTTGCTGGCTGTTCCTCATAACGTGGATGTTCTCGATGCCAATGAACTGGAATTTGATGTTGGAGTAGTTGTCTTCGTTTTCGTAGCCCTTTCCTGCGGCGCGGTTTGCAATCGCGTTCAACTAGAAAGACAGTTAGTGTCAGTCAATTGAGTTCTGTTCACAGAAAGCTGGAGGTTCTGGGTATATAACACACAGGAGTCACATACAGGTACAGTTAGATTTACAGGGGAAATACGTGAAAAGTGTTGCAATAGGTAGTGAAATAGTGGGGGGAAAGCTTTGAAGAGTAAAATTATTCAAAAAAAGCAAAGCTTTACAGAAATGCCTGTTGATATCGATCCCGGTGCAGCTAGAACAGAGCCAGGATGTTTTCGAAGCCTTTGCTATGAGGACATGCAGCTGGCAAAACCCAGCATGAAAAATAAAGCCCACCTGAACATACAGCGTAGTACTGTATTTTTGCAGGCCGTTCCTCAGACACAAAGGGCTCACCTTAGGCCTGGTGTCCACCACATACATGAAGTCGCTGCGGGGATTGGACCTCAAGATGGCCTCCAGCATCTGTTCGTCCTCCAGGCAGCGAGCGCTGAAACCTGACAGCGGCTGGCTGCTGCGGCAGATGGTAGCCTGGGAGGAGGCAAGAGGCACTCGGGCCTTATCAAACATGTACATTTTCACATTGCACAACATTTGGTAAAAAAAAAAAAAATCCAATATGTGAGAATCAGGGTGAATACAAATTCACAGTGCTTTTTTAAAATTCCCCTGCATGTTCAATTTGAACTGATCAACCACACAGTTTCTCATATCTCTATTTAGTAGCCACAAGGGAAAGAGCCAAAGATCGCTGTGTGACTCTTTCTTCTGGCACAAGAACCAGAATAAAGCTCTTTGTATGAACCGAGCTCCACAAGCAGGACCTTAACCCTGGGAAGCTGACCTCACACACATAAAGCATTCCCAACTGTCGAATTAAGGATTAATAGGAGACATTATGAATGCTCACGATCAGTCTCAATTCAGACATGTGGCTTTCACAAATATGAATAATTGTAGGCAAGTTCTAGGAAACAGCGCTAAATCATGTTATTTCATTTAACGATTAAACGGATGTCAGTCATAATCCAGCTCGGCTGAACAGATACTGAAACAATAGCCTGGTATAACAAGTTTACTATGTTTAGAGAACTCATTTATTTAAGACATTATGCCTGACTTCAGACAGATGCAGACTAGGGTTTAGGTCTCATTAATCCCGTTTTGTTTTAAATGCTACTGTTCTGCTACTGATATCTAAAGCTGTGCGATATTTGGTTTCAGCTTCACATTGTGACGGGAACATGATGTCGCAACAGTTTTTGCTTCTTGATCAAAAAGGAAACAGTTTTCATTTTCCGTAACCAAGTCCATCAGATGGAGCATAATTCACTCAGATTTAATGGCCCTTAGATAAACTGAGTTTTTTTAAAAATTAAACTGTGTTCACATGACATGGAGTTTGTTGACATGCAGGCTCCACATGTGCACAGCAAAGTGAGCGAGGAACTGGAGGGAAACACTGAAAATGAGGACTTGGCTGCACAAAGAAACACCACACCAGCTCTATGTAATATTTCAGCTACAGAACGAAGGATGTCGACCAGAGACAGGTATTCTGTCAGCGGGTGTCTTGTGATTGTTGCCACCACACAAGGCAACGTTTGCTTGATCATTTAAATCAGCACCAAAAAGTCCTGAACAACAAGTGCAAAGTCAGATCTGAATGTCATCCAAAACAAAAAAGAACTATTTTGGATGAAAAAAGTCTTCATGGTAAAAGGTCATTTTGTGTTTTGTGTTTTGGATGCAGATGCACTCCTCGATAAAATCTCCTCGATCAATGTAGAATGATACCAAATCGAGTTCATTAATTCAGCTGGTAAAAATCTACCTATTATTTGCAGAGCATAATATATAGTGCAGAAAAACAAAACATCAGCCATTGTTTCCACCCAGCATCCACATTGCTTTGGAGTTTTAGGGCTTTAAAACCGAGATTTAAGAAATGCTGCTGAACCCTGGTTAATGTGAAAAACTGGAGAAATCCATTTAAATCAGGATGGGTAGACACAAAGACTTCTGGTTGATATTTATTTTTTGATTACATTTTAAATGTTACTAGTCACCAGTCTATCACAGGGCTACACTTAGAGACAGACAACCAAGCACACTCACATTCACACCTACAGATCATTTAGAATCACCAATTAACCTCAACGTGTTTTTGGACTGTGGGAGGAAGCCGGAGAACCCGGAGAGAACCCACGCTGCACGGGGAGAACATGGAGACTCCACGCAGAAAGATCCCAGGCGTCCAAACCGAGACGTGCACCGAGGATCTTCTAACTGCGAGGCGACAGTGCTATCCACTGAGCCACCTTGCAGCTCACATCCCAATCATGTGACAGTTTTTCATAAGAGAACAAAGACATCAGTCTTGACTGTCAACAATTAATTCAACATGGATAACAAATCAGGGGCCTTGTTGTCTCTGCTAGCAGCTGTTGTGCAGAGAAGAAAATCTCTGGTCTTAGTTTTCACCGCTGCTTTTCTTCCTCAGTAGTATTTTCTACAACTAAGCAACCAAACACCGGCTGTGTGTTCATCAGGTGAGTTGGTATGAACAAGACTATTTCTGAAGCTGTGCTAAAATGCCTGCATGGACCAAGATTGTTTTTGTTTTAAAAGGAAAATGTTTTAGTGTGGCTGTAACCTCGGTCACCAACATCTGTCTGCCAAACTAAATTATGCACCAAACACAGAACCTGAGACTCTTTCCTTACCATTAGAGCATCACAGATTTGCCTCCATCAGAACAAATGGAAAGTCAAATGGAAAGACTGTGAAAAATGGCCAGAATATATTTGCCATGACATCCAGTGATGTTTACTTTTGGGAATTCCAAAACTCAGTTTCTGGCCTGCAGGAGTTTTGAAACACAAACTTTTGGCTGAAGAGGCAAGAGGGAGGTCAGCACCAACCAACCAGCCAGTCTCATGATTCACTCCTGCTACAAAAACTGGCCAAGTACAACAAGCAGTAAATAATTTAAACATCACTACATAATCTCTTATCTAACGTTTTCTTCAAAATATTTGCAAAATATTTTCCTTTGACTAGCCTCATGCATTCCTGTGGAGGGCTGGAGTCGGGCAGATTGGTTGTGTTTGATAGACACCACAGACGCTTCATGTCATTTAGAATAATATAAGCTGATATAGAAAACGTGGAAAATAGAAAGGTATGCCGTCAACTTACGTTATTTTCTTTGGAGTAGTACGACAGGGCAGGAAATCGGCCTCTGCTTCGGAACTTGGAGCTCCCCATGATGATCGGCGGCGTGGCAGACTCAGGTACGAACAGGTCAGCAGGGTAAGTGTCGCTCACCTGCAGAAAAATGGCAAAAAAAACCCCCAAACTGTAAGCAGCCGCGATGTCCAAATAAGGATGAAATGGTCTGACTGAAGCCAGCTCGCTGACCTTATGGTGTCGGTTGACGGGGGACAGCTTCCACAGAGAGTTCGGGAGTCCCATTCGGCTGTAATCAGCCTTCAGGTCCAAGAAGTCCCATTCCTGTCGTCTCTCCACCTCATCAACGTTCGGCTTGTAGGAGAAGCAGTACAGCTCCTCGTAACTCTCTGTAACGCACAACACCGATAAAGTTTGTCCAACAAAAACTCAAACTTTTCCATCAGTTTGCAGGACCAAGATGTTGCCAAGTACATTTATTCAAGCACCTTATTGTACTTTAGTGTCAGTACTTTCATTTTTTGCTGCTTTATACTTTGACTTCACTACATTTCAGAAGGAAATATTATACGTTTAACTGCACTGCATTTATGAGTCATGCTTGAGATTAATATTTTACAAAATGGCCAATATAGCAAACTTTTAGAATATAACAGATTATTAAAAATTAAACCAGTAGTGTGAAAACTTTTTGGTTTCTTATAAAAAGCACATTTCAGATGTCTATGTGTTGTTAAGAGCTCCAAAAAACTGTGATTTTCCTTTAAAACCTGACATTTTTGTTTCAACTATTGATCAAATGATTGAAAATCTTACCAAAAAACAAAGATTAAACAAAAAGTGAACATTTAAAAGCGGATTTGCGTAATAGAAGTTTGTTTTTTCTTCTTTTCTCTTACATTAATCATGTTTCTAATTCTCAGATTTATCTGCTGTTCCTGTATATAAAAGAAGACAGTAACCTGCTGTTGACACCCTGATGCCTTACTAATAATAATCTAACTAGGTCATATATAACAATATAACCTGGACTTTCACTTTCATACTTTAACTACATTTTGCTGCTAAGACTTATGTACTGTTACTAAAGTAGGATTTTAGGGGTGGATGGTGGATTTCGAGGCAGTCACATCCCAATACCTTGAAGTACAACGTTTCTCATGTCAGCAGATTGTGGAGGACGGCTACATATTATTGCACAAAACTCAACAGTGATATTGGTGTAGGTGGAGAAAAAAACAGCCATCAGAGCTTTAGACCGACATTACCAAACCCACCTGGCTGGGAGAGACGCTGCAGGGACAGGTGAACGTCCTGGCATTCCCGCTCTCGAGGAACGACGAAGTGAAGAACCTGGAAGTTCTTACAGTGGATGATCAGAGGACATCCTGAGGCCGTGGCCGCCTGTTTCTCCACACTGCTCACCAAACTGTGAAGCACCTGAGAACATGAAAAGCAGGCAAACGTGGACCTTTTAAGTAGGCTGATAAATTTCAAACAATCCAAAGAGCTTCTGTTGTTGGTTCTTTAAGGTGTTTCAGCTCTGATCCAAGAGGCTTTCTTAGTTCTAGCTGGCTGATGGGGAGTTACCAAAAACTGTGAATGGTTGTGAAACAGCCTGGAGAGGATGACTCATGGTTTCAATGGTGGTGAAACTGTCTGCGAAGGGATTTTCTAACTTCATTGTAAGTACCTGGTAAGTGGTGTCGTATAAAGAAAGAAGAAATACCTCAGAAAGCTTCTTGAAAAGGAGGTAAAATATGACAAAGAACCAAAAACAGAAGTGTGGCTCCCTTCAGCTGAAGCATTACCATGACCAGGATGACTGAGAATCTACAGACTGTAAACACATCGTACAGCACGAAGCAACACACATCTATGGTGGTTATGTTTTGCACTCAATGCATTTTGTGTGTGTGCTTCATCCCAGTGTGGAAGTTGACAGCAGCCCTCCTGAGGATTTACTGTGCAGTGAGCTCATGCCTACCCAGGTTTCATTGCGCACTCCGGCCTCGTTCTCCACAAAGATGCTGTGTGTTGCTGTCAGGTACAGGGTTCCCACTCTGCTCCTCCTGGGGGAGACTCTGTCCAGCAGCCTGACGTTCTCCACCTGCAGGAGGAGGAAGGAGGAGAAGAAGAAGAACGGATCATCCTCAGCTCTGCTCTCAGGGCTTTAACACATCTGTACACATGTGCAATGGCAGTCAAACACAACCAGACACTCCTAAATCCTCACTGCCGACGTGGCAGCACACGCCCTTTTAAATCAAGTCTGCACGTTTGCTTCGTTATCTCCCTTCACAGCGTCTCACTGACGGTTTTCCTGCACAAGTGGAGGCAGAGTGCGGAAACGCAGCGGATCCCTGCAGGCAGATCCTCGGTTACCTTCGGTAGTCGGATGTGCTCCATCGGCGGCTGAGCTTCCTGCGTCGATGCACCCTAGCAGCCGTACAACATGTGCACGGTGGAGGAGCTGGAGAGGGCTGCAGGTCAGGTTTACTGGTCCAGGTTGTCGCTCAGCAGCTCGCAGGTAAACCAGCCATCACACTGCTGACGGCTGCCCTCGGCCAGGCTGCACCGCCGGGTCCTAAAGCCCACCCGGTGCTCGCCCACAGCCTGAATAAAATGTTGGAGGGAATCTCAGGCTGCTGGTGTTTACTGATCCAAACTTTCTGTATTTTTAAGAAAATAATATTATTATATTATATATTATGTTATATTATATTAATGTTAGTCTATATTATATACTTCTATGTATTGTTTTTTATGTATTTTCTATGTAATTCTAATATTATTTCGATTATTCTTGTTGTGTGTTTTTGTTGTTGTTGTTTTTGTTCTGTTTTTACTTGAGACTGTAATGCTTGTTTTTGATATTTTATTGTCTGGACCCCAGGAAGACTAGCTGATGTCTTGGCGTCAGTTAATGGGGATCCTTTTAAATAAACAAATAAACAAATAAACTCATTTAACATGTCATAGCTGCACATCATGGTACTTTGCCAATCAGAGATAGTGGTTATTTATGTTGTTTAATGCTAATATATGTCACTTCAGTTCAAGTCAGAGTGCTTTATTGGCATGAATATGAGGTTAACAGTATGGGTCATTTGGGTGTTTCTGTACATCCAGGTTACTTAGGTCCTCACCTTGGTTAAAAAAACAACAACAACAAAAACAGAAGCTAGCCAATGATGCAGGAAATGTAATGTTTTTTACTCTCATGCCCCAGTTACACATAGTTTTGCTTCATGCCTGTAAAATTGTGTATATGAGGGTACTTTAAAAATTTCTCGGCCTCGGAGAAAGATTGTCATTAGTTTGGTTCCTCTCGTACTGGGCAGGATTGCTATTGCAACAACACATCATCAGTAGGGTAAAACTAACCTGTCTCATGACGGTCTAAGCCTCGCTCACGTTCCCTATTAGTGGGTCTATTAGTCTCCTTTAACTGAAATGCATTTGGTCCACCGATGTTCAAGCTTTGCTGTCCCTTCATGGAAGATCATCCTGAGCCTCCAGATTCTCCTCAACAGCATGCACGACTTCATCATCACTCTGAAAATGGCGACCATGCAGGTGGGGTTTCAGTTTTAGAAACAGAAGTCAGACGGTGCAGGTCGGGTGAGTAAGGTTCAGGGAGCAACAGTTCAAAAAACCACATTTGGCTGCTTCCGCCATCTGTGATGTGTGGGTAGACAAAATGTCCTGCAGCAGCCAGCTCAGAGCTTTACGTTCTGTTCTCCTCTCCTGCGGTTTATGTGTTGTGGTTTTTTTTTTAAGTCCACGTCACTGTGGGAGTCGACAACAAGAACCTCGTGGCTGTTAACTTAGCACACTGACGATGTCATGTTTTGTTGAGGGTTTGTTCTGCAGACACTTCGATCCTTATGTCCAGTGACAAAATACCAAAATGCAGATGGCAGTAGTGCACAAACCAAAGGGTGATACCACAGTGACTCCATCCACCTTTTATGTGCAGTCTACCTGGGATGGCAGGTGAATCCAGTTATTTACCTCCCATGGACACATCCTGTGCCAATACGCTGGTTCCAGCAGTTTCAGGGTGGATTTCTTTAGTTTGCTTAGTTGCATATTTGCATAGTTTTAAATTTATGTGGAATGAAAGTTTCCTGCAACACTTTTCACAGCAGATAATTCCCGCATGTCGTAATGTAGTTGAATGTAACTTCATTCCTATTAGTCCACACATACAGTGGTATTTTTTAAAACTGGGATTTCCTCCTTTGTTCTCAAAAATATATGCACATTAATGTACAAAAACACAAATTAAGTGCTGTCAAGAGCCACAAGATTGATGCTGACCAGCTAAAAGATTGAAGGGAGCTGTTAGGCACATCAGCAGTGCTTATGCTGATTCGGATGCCTCTGTTCCTTAGTATAGTGGAAGAGAAACTACATCTATGCATAAAAAGTCCTGTTAAAAAGGTAAGAACTATATTAGTCACATCCACGATTACTCAAAACCATCTCATGGTTACAAAGGAAAAAACAGTGCACTTTTGTGGCAACACAAGACAAAACTTTTCCCTGCGTGCACGTCAACACTACATAGTTTGTGAATGTTTTCACCCTAGAGAGAGTTCTCCAGAAGCTCCATCTTTAGTAACCTAAAACTGTGTTTGCTTGTGAAGTTAATCCTAAAACTCATAGAGAAAGTTGTGCTTTGGATCATACCAGTGTGCATGTTGGTGAGCCAGCTCCAGAGTGCTAATGTGGAACTTTATCACAGCAAACATTTTAAAATATGGCAGCAGGAAGAGCACAGGTGTAATGATGATGCCTGCAAAGCATTTAGGCGAAGTCCTGCTTTGGTGCATGCTACACAGATGTTCCAACATCAGTAATAAAGTCACGCTAACAGGAGAGTGAGGGAGAATAGATTTATTCTGTATTCACTGGAAACTGTTTTCACACTAAAACAAACCACGAAAACCCTTAAGCTGCTCTTTAGCTGTTCTCGGTTCTGTTTACTCCAGTGAAAAATAGAGAATAAAAGAATTCCACAGATTATACTAACAATAACAATGAACATATTTCAGTCCGCTCACTGTTATAAATAATAGACTCCACAGGTTTATACGAGGTTGCTCTTCTTCACAAACCACTGCACAGTGTTTGACAGACCACCTATGATATAAGACGTCAATTTCCTCAGTTTATTTTTTAAATGCTTTGGCTTTGATCATCCTCACAGTCGAAAGCATTTTTTGTTCCATATACACCAAAGATGCACTGAGAAGCTCTGATGAGCTCCTCTTTATTGTCTCATGAGGAAGCTTTTATGTTTTTCTTCTCCTTCTGACTGTGATAAGTTCCCTTTAAATACGTGCTGCGAGTCATGAGGTCAGTTTTTTTGGTTTTGTCTTTCGTCATTATGTCGTGCTTTTCACTTGTTGTTGTATCTCAAGAGGTTTATCTAGATAAATAACACGTTTACCAAGAAATTCCAGTTTGTATACGAGGACTTTTTATTACTATAAATCAGTAAAAAAGAGACTTAGGTTTGACATACTGTCTTTTTCCAAATTTACACCTCATTGACCTTATAACTGTACCAAATGTCCACATTACACGATTAAAGCTGTTATCTTTTGTGTAAAATAAAGAATGTTATCTACATATGTCATTTTCAGGATACAGTATTCTACATTCTGCCTGTGATTATAAAATTATCTGGAGTTTGCCTAAGTGATTGTGGCACTGCTAAACAGAGCGTGAAGCTATTTTGAGAAGCTGCCCAGTGCAAACACAGATGGGCCCCCGTATGATTTAAAGCTGGACGTATACACAATTTATCTGCACGCCCACGCCGACCCGTTTTAGTTTATCAAGTTCCTCTGACGTATTCACGGTTTCGGCAACTCATCCCCGATTTCACAATGTGCTCTTTTGTGCTGTTTTATCTTCCCGCAGCATTCTGCACACGAGCGAGCCGAGCAGCCATCTGTTGCAGGTCGGTGGCCAGAAACAAAACAATAAAAGTAGTTAGTTAAACTAAGCAGAACTGATTTGTGACTTACTGACTCCTGCACGTCCTCTTCTGCTGCGTCCACGCATGAGGAACTAAAAATAAGCTTTATTGTCCTTTGATCATTAAAATAGAACAGCTCAGCTCTGATAACATGGCACGTATCCTGCTTCTGCGATCACATTATGTCCACTTTTAAGAAAACCCAGGCTTCATGACTAAACTAATATTTGTTTATTGCTGATATCTGTTTTATCGCTGGCACAGAAGTAAATGTTAAACTTATAAAATCCCCTGCGAGGATCATCCAGATTTACTGTAACTCTTATCAGTGTGGAATTAATTTTTGGAAGCCGGCGCATCCTGAGGGACTTGGAGTGAATTCAGGCCACAAGATACTTGAGCATCACAGATCGTATTTAAAGGAATCTGCTGTGTAGAAAAAAAATTATGTGACAGTATGAAGAATACTTTATATTTCTCTGAGAATAAATGTATTTCACCATGCAGTTTCTTTCTTTCTTGAGTCTAGTTGGAGCTCATGTTGCAGTAAGACATAATTTTATGTTAAAATGGACTATTTTGATATTTTAGAATACACATGTGCAATAAAGGGCTGCAAGATGGTGCAGTTGGTTATCACTGTTGCCTCGCAGCAAGAAGGTCACCGGTTCGCGTCCCAGTGGGGGCACCGGAATCTTTCTGCGTGGAGTTTGCATGTTCTCCCCGTGCAGCGTGGGTTCTCTCCGGGTTCTCCGGCTTCCTCCCACACAGTCCAAAAACATGTTGAGGTTAATTGGTGATTCTAAATTGTCTGTAGGTGTGAATGTGAGTGTGCTTGGTTGTCTGTCTCTAAGTGTAGCCCTGTGATAGACTGGTGACCTGTCCAGGGTGTCTCCTGCCTTCACCCTGCGTCGGCTGGGATAGACTCCAGCCCCCCATGACCCTAGTGAGGATTAAGCGATGTATGGACGATGGATGGATGGATGTGCAATAAAGTGCAAAGTGACTGTTGTTTATGGCTGTGTAATAACAATAAGAACATTTTCTTCTTTTTTAAAAATCTTCAAAACAATAGAAAAATAGAAAAAGTCACATCGTAAATAATCAGGAGGTAGAGATTGTGGTGTTTTGGGTTCTGTTCAAAAGGTGCAGCGTTATGAAGGCAAAACTTTTATTCCTTAAAGGGCCTGGAAATCACTTCTGTCAATGAGTTACTCTCATTGCTTTGTGTGGTGTTTGGTGATTGGTTGTTGTAATTTGTTGTGAACATAGAACAATTTCTTCTTAATAAATGACTGTTTAAACTCTTTCTTTCTTTCTTTCTTTCTTTCTTTCTTTCTTTCTTTCTTTCTTTCTTTCTTTCTTTCTTTCTTTCTTACTGTACTCTCACACTGACCCAGATATAGACAGGAAATCACTTTTAGCAGAGCCTGAGGTGATTGTCCTCGAGAGCAGTTTTCGCAGATGATCCTTCATCCTCCTAACTAATAAAAAGAGTATTAAGTGAAACTGGACACAGGTAATGTCTCCAGGCTTCAGTCTCTAGACTCTTCTCGAAATGTAATATGAAGAGGCTTAGTGTCACTGTACTAAACTCGTCCTCGAATCCACGACTAATGCTGGCCTCCTAAACAAATCTGTAACCTACATTTATATTTTCTCTTTACATTTTTCCACTGAGCCACACGAAAGCAGAAGCTGAAGTTGTTTCAGGTTTGCATATTCAATCTGGTCGATGGGATCTGACATGTTAAACCTTTATATGAACAGACTTCATGTTGATTATAGTTTTTCATGTATTAATAGTTCAGAAGCACTTGTTGTCCATGTTGATGTTTTCCTCTATTTTCAGCCTGCTGTTTTGTCTGTGCAGTGAACTTTGGCATGTTCACGTAAACCTGTTATATATTTTTTCCCCCAAAATGAGGTCTCAGCGATGCTCATGTTCCAAACCTGGACATCACTCTCTCTGCTGTCCGCCTTATCAGTAACTGTTCACTCACACATTTCCTAGTGACACCAGTGTTAACTGGAGCGAGCAGTCCCGGTGTCTGCAAGACAAACACCACTCAACCTGTTGACCATATCCACGTTTTTGAAGCTAGGTCACTCAGCCATTGGAGGGCAAATGCATTCAATTGGCTTCACACAATTAGCGCATGTCAACAATGAGACACAGCGAGCCAGGGACTCCTGTCCAAGCTTTCCATGGTTACAGCGCATGTGAAGAAACTTAATGCCCATTCCAAAGAGGAAGGAGGGTGTTATGATATTGTTAGAACCAAGTCAAAAAGTGTGTATTTACAAGGCGACAAAAGTTGGGATTTTCAACTCAAATATAAAATCCTTTACGGTTTTAGAGACGTGGAGAGTGACGAAAAAAAAACATCAGTAAAGGTCAAACCTTCATCGACAACTGCTTAAGAAAGATCCTCAAGATGCACTGGTTGGGATCAGTAGCAATGATCTATGACAGAAAACACAACAGTTACCAGTGCTGGATTACGAAAACCAGTGACAAACACCACCAGACAAGTCCTGATGTGGAACCCTTAAGGAAAGAGAAGAAGAGTCAAGTAGCACCTGGCGAAAGGATCTACAGACATCATGAGGTTTGGGTACACTTGAACCCAAGAAAGCCCAAGACTGGGTTTTCGAGAGTTCCCTTGTCAGTCCTTGACACCCAAGAAGGAGGAGCATAAGAAACAAAAGTGCATGAAAAAAAGTGCTATATGAAAAATGGCTTCACTGCAGCACCAAATAGTGTTTGGTCCTTGATGTAACTTAGTTGGATGGAGGAGATCTCACCGCCAGCATTAACAGTTGTGTCTCCAGTCATCCCACCACTTAAGAAAGCTTTCCCATCAGTATGCAGGTCAGATAATCGGCCCCTGCAGCCAGGGTTTTGTGGGCAACCGTCCATGATATTCGGCTGCTTGGCTGGATGGACAAACTCAGAGAGAGCTGGCTGTTGTCATGCCGTCGAGTCTCGGGTCTGTGGGTTGGACGGTGTTTCTGAGGGCCAGCTGCCACCTTCCCACTGAGGTCTTAAGCTGGTTTGAGCTGGTCTTGGCAGAAATACTCTCAACCTCAGTTGTAATTCTCAGGTCGTGTTTGATGGAAAAATGCTCGTTTTGGGTTTTTTTTTTCCCCTCTCCAAGAGCTCCAGCTTGTAACTGGAGTTGCTGTGGAGATGCCAAGCCTTTTTGATGGCGTACCACAGTGAGCTGTGTTATTGATTTTATTATGTTCATGGGTCCAATAGCTCAGGGTACATTGAGCAATACCTGTCTTCCATTAGGAGGACTTACACCCCCCCTACCCCACCCTCTCCCACGCACTATCCACCCTTCATTGACCAATCAGCACCCATGCTTTTAGCAGCGCTCCTGTGGGCTGCACTGGGTAAACAGTGTCTGGCTCAGTGTTTGTCATTGAAAGTTGCCTAACCATTTATCAGTAGTCAGTAAGCATCTGGACAGCTGGGATCTATTTAGCACGAGTGTGCATTAGAAATGACAATTCCTACCAAATAGATTCATGCAGTTTTCTCTCTGTCTCCTGCTGATTGATCCCAGGAGGAAAACGAATGGTGCAATCTTGTCTCCACCAAGTCTTGCTCCCCCCCAAAAAAAAACCACAAGCATGGAGGTAAAATACCCCCCCAGCCTAGTTCCCTTGGGTTTCCTCCTCCCCTCTTGCCTCCCCTGCTCCAGGGACGTCACTCCCCTGGCTGTGGCGGGACTGGAGACTGAGTCTAGGGGCAAGGCAAGGGCAGATCCTATGAAGAAACTCTGGGGACAGAGGGGAGGAGTAAAATTGCTGCTCTGCACAGTTTACGAGCCAGCAGAGTGAATTAGCGTTCAGCACACTGGCAGAGTTCTGAGGCTGCAGTTCATCGAAACAGTACATGTTATTTGACTTTTACCTGTGCTGCTGCAGCTGATCTGCCGGAGCTCCCTGCAGAGCTGGAAGAAGAGAACTTTAGCAGCTTTTTTTTTTCTGTTGTCTGAACTTGGACCCTTCATTTCCAAACAGTGTCACTCTAAGGTATGTGCATGTATTTAATGAAACTCAAGGAGTGTGAAACATTTAATCATGTGGTTGTGCATATATTTCGAATTACTACTTTACAGTTTAGCTGTGAGGATTTGTGTAAAGCTGAGGTCACACAGGGTCTGCAGAGAGATTTCAACATGTTGAGCTGAAAATATGCCCCACATGTTGCACAAGTTGTCAGTGCACGATGTGAGACGCACATGGCAAGTTCTCTGACAGACTAAATTACTACAATTTGTGTCTCCCTTTTTTGCAAAACAGAAGTTTTCCTTGCCAAAACTTGGCAGTTTCAGTCCACTGTATTTATGGACATGCGGTAATACAGCCCACATTGTAATGCAAATGAGCTGTCACATCCAAAACTCGTTCCTCTTGGTGCAGGAACCCACGCTGCTGCAGAGATCAATGCACATTTGGACGGTCGTCAGTGTTAATTTATGGTTAAGGTAATCAAAGTGTGGTTCTAAGAAGGAGACTAAACTTCAAAGCAAATTACCAACAATTCACTCGGGAGCAGGAATATTTCTTCCTCATTTTCTCATATTGTATTCATGCTAATATTTTCAGTGGCATCTCCCCCTCCGTTTAGATTTACAGGACAATGACAACAAAGAGCAAGTTGCAGTTTTTGTAGTTATGTCCTTTACATGTAATTAGTGCACAGAGCTCCAGGAATGTCTTTACTGTGTCATATTGGTGCATTCATGGTCTCCTGATGAATGCGGCTCTTTGAGCACTTCGATCTGCACCATAACCCCAAACAATAGATTTTAATGGGACTCTTACAGTATGAACTTTACCACGCTACAGCGCTTGGCAGCATTCCTAAAGCGCGCGTCATAGTTTGTAGGGTTAACATCCCCTTTCAGAAGCTTTAACCCCACCTTTTGTTTCATCTTACATGTTACGCAACTGACTTTTCAGCATTTTTCAGGAGCTCAAAATGCAAAGCGAGTGGAGCTCAATCTAACTGCACTGATTGACAGCTTTAGTTTCACAACTGTAGCTCCTTGAATGGTAAGATAGTGTAAATATTGATCCTAAAATAAAAACTATTAGAGGTGATTTTATAGCACAGTGGCTTTGGGAGATTTCTTACTTATGTGTCCTCGTACTGCATGCACACTGCACCTGTACATTCACATTCATCCCTTCAAATGACCCACTCATACCCCGGAGCATGTGAGGCATTTTTAATCCTTTCTTCTCCCGTTCCTTCTGTCAACAGGTGTCAGCATGCTGGAGCAGGTTCTGTCATTCGGCCGCTCCCTGGTGCGCAGGAAAGTGGTCGACCTGAACAATCTGGAAGACTCCAAGCTCTGCCGCTGCCTGGGAACCGTCGACCTCATTGCCCTCGGGGTGGGCAGCACTCTGGGCGCCGGCGTCTACGTCCTGGCTGGAGAGGTGGCCAAGGGAGACTCTGGCCCCAGCATTGTCATCTCCTTCCTAATCGCCGCCTTGGCCTCCGTCATGGCCGGCCTGTGCTATGCAGAGTTTGGCGCTCGCGTCCCCAAAACTGGCTCCGCTTACCTTTACAGCTATGTGACTGTAGGTGAGGTCTGGGCCTTCATCACCGGTTGGAACCTGATCCTCTCTTATGTGATCGGTGAGTTCGTGGCAATCTTTGAATCGCAGTTTATTTTACAGAGGATGGATAAGTGAACAGCCCTCGTTGATGGTTGTTCTTCGTTCTCTCGCAGGTACCTCCTCAGTTGCCAGAGCGTGGAGTGGCACATTTGATGAGATGATAGGAGGACACATTGAGATATTCTGCAAAACCTACTTCAGCATGAACTCCCCTGGTTTGGCTCAGTACCCCGACTTCTTTGCTGTCTGCCTGATTCTGCTGCTTTCTGGTAAGGTAGCAAATAAGGTCGGAAAATCTTAGAAATGAAGGAGTTGTGTTGATACAGAGGTAGCAAAGAATTGGAATTAGAGTGGGTACATCGTGTTTTAAACAGCAGATGACTTAAAATGAAGAACCACTGCTGGCATAATGTAATAACAAGAGAGCAGGACACTGTGTCATCAGTGCAGCAGCTTCTTCTTCTTCAGATTCATGAAAGTGGTGCTTATTGGTTGGCATCTTCACTAACTGGGAGTGCACTCTGTTCGTTTTCTGAGGTCAGGTTCACAACACTGCAGGGTTTCAAACTGGACATATTTTTTTTTACATTCCACCTTCATGACCCTCAGTCTAAAGCAGAACATTTTATCATGTGTTCTGTCTGTTGGCCTGCCAGTGCAGTGATTACATTACATCAGTGTGACTCAGAAAGAATCCACCAGTGTTTGGTTGTTTTTGGGCGGATATCCAGAACGTATACATTATTGTAGACATTTCTATTGGTCTTGGTGCAGATATGCAGATTTTAAACAGTTTACAGTAAAAGGACTCAAACAAACTCTACCTGTCACATATTCAAGTATTTCAATGTCATTAAATTTGGTGTCTTTGAAGACAGCTGAAAAACTGAAGGAAAAACCGACGTAAAGTGTTTTAGTCGGGTGTTTGGGCAGAACAGCTTTAGCCCTCCTTGGCATTGATTCTCCAAGTGTCTGGATCACGACTGGATGGATGGATGAACCCTTCTTCCAAAAGATATTCCTTCATTTGCTATTTTAAAGATGTTGGGGATGTTTACACTGCCACCTTTACATCGCCAACTTGCTGGCAAAATGTCCCCAATAGAATAACTTTTAATTTGTCACCGATCCTGTAGGATGAACATAACTTTGGATAACTTTGTCCTCCTACTCCTCGACTTTTCCTCTAGTGCAGTCTTAGGTTTCAACATTCTAGTTGCCTGAGTTATGGCCAAATATATTTAACAACTTGGACTTTACTTTAACATGTTATTCACTGGACTTAATGTCTTTAATCGCTAAAATAAATAAATAAATAAAATCAATGAAAGCAATAAATATGTATTAGTATACTAGGGTACACTATGACAGTGGCCATGGTAAACTACATGCCTGCTTTGTTAGCACTGTAATTATTAGCATGTTAGCATGCCAATATTAGCATTCTGTTCAAATGCAGAGGTCGAATCAATGAAATCAATAAACTATGTGTTAACGTGCAAATATACACTATGACGATGAGCATGGCAAGCAACAGACCTGCTTTGCATCAGCAAAACTAAGCACTGTCAATATTAGCATGTTAGCGTGCTGACGTTAGCATTCCGCTCAAAGTACAGCTGCGTTTAAACACAACATTACAGAGTCGCTAACATGACTGCTCCTCGTTCATGTGTGAGCTGCTGAATCGTAATTCATTGAACGCATTTTTAAAATTAGCAACATGCTCAACTGTAAAAAAATAAATAAAAAATATGCAGCTAGTGTCAGCTGAACTTCTGGAACACCTACAAAGGATCAGATTTTGGGGTTAAAGTATAGATCTGCAGTATTTATGTATGGATTTATTTTTTTAAAATAAGGCAAGAATTCCATACCAACCTTCAAATCATAATTTACTAAATGAACATCAGGCTGAGTTAAAGGAGACTTGAAACTAGTGATTGAGGCCATAAATGCATGAGTATTTGCTAAGGTAGTAAATCAAGTGAGAAGTTTGGTAATTTTCTCATAGACTTCTATACAATTTGGCTTCTTTTGCAACCAGAGGAGTCGCCCCCTGCTGACCGCTAGAAAGAATGCAGGTTTAAGGATGTCTCAAGTTATTCTCGTCGGTTAATCATAGCAACTGGACTTGCTTGAGTTCTTTGAAGACGTTCCACCTCTCATCCAAGAGGCTTCATCAGTTCTGGCTGACTAGTCGGGAGTTGCAGATACTTATATCCCTAAGGGGCCATTAACATATAAGTAGATGAAGATATAAGGATCTGGAACTCCCAACTAGTCAGTCAGAACTGATGAAGCCTCTTGAATGAGAGGGGAAATGTCTTCAAGAACCCCAAGCAAGTCCAGTTGCTACGATTAACCTACGAGAAAAACCATGACCTGGATGACTGAGAATCTTCACAGACACCATGTCTCAAGTTGGCTTTACTTTCTAGACCTGGAGCCCTCATCCTTCTTTTATATCCAGTCTATGCTGCTGGATCTGTAAAATGTAGCTCATGATGGTAGATTTTGACGAATCACTGGGCTTTTTATAGATTAAATGAAAAGTATAAATAGCAATAAAGTCAGTGGTGCAATGGGTCAGATGGAGGACGTTTACTTGGGTGGTCAGAGTCTGACTTCTCGGCAAAGCCACAAATGACTGTTGACCTTTGGCTTTGCATGTTTAGTGGAATGATAGACTACGGGGCATTTGGTAATTTGCTAAGGCAGTGCTGACCTTTCAGATCACATGACTAAGCTCTGCTGGGTTTATGTTCATCCAGGACTCCTGTCGTTCGGAGTGAAGGAGTCGGCCTGGGTCAACAAGGTCTTCACCTCGGTCAACGTGCTCGTACTCTTGTTCGTCATCATCTCCGGCTTCGTTAAAGGAGACACTCACAACTGGAAGATCAGTGAAGAATCCCTTGTAAATTTCACCATAGTTAAAAGGTAATTTATTCATTTTTTTATCTAAAGAGCCAGTATTACTGTTGGTCTAGGTTATAAAACGGCAGCATGCATGTTTCAGGAACTTGTCAGCGACCGCCAATGTGAGCAGCGATTATGGAGTTGGAGGATTCATGCCTTACGGATTCAGTGGAACCTTAGCCGGAGCTGCCACCTGCTTTTACGCGTTTGTTGGATTTGACTGCATTGCGACAACAGGTGGGTGATCAATAGGTTGTGACTTACCTTCATCAAAGCTCAGTATGATAACAACATGCACTTGTGTGCGACAGGTGAGGAGGTGAAGAACCCTCAGAGGGCCATACCCATCGGCATCGTGGTGTCGCTGACCGTGTGCTTCCTGGCGTACTTTGGCGTGTCGGCGGCGCTCACCCTGATGATGCCCTACTACCTGCTGGATGAGAAGAGCCCTCTGCCCATGGCCTTTGAGTATGTGGGCTGGTCTCCTGCCAAATATGTGGTCGCTGTGGGTTCACTGTGTGCCCTCTCCACCAGGTAACCACTGGATTTGTTTCTCTGAAGTAAACGGAGAGAATATCAATATATGTTTTGGTAAAAAGAAGAAATTGAGACAGAACATGCCTGAATTTAATGCTATGCTATCATATATTTAGTATAAATTGGTGGTAACAGTAAGATTTGGTCAAAAGTTTGACCATAAATCTCTGTTCTGTCTTGTTTTGGATTGATTCCTGTTGCTTTGGTGGGCTTTAATATTTAATATTGTGTGTGTTAAGACACCTGCATGCCTTTGTGATGTTTATAATTAACCGTCTGAACTCCAAGAAGTTTCTTGGCATTTTTTTGCTCTTGTTCCATTTTTCCTCATTTTGAGCTCATTTTTCACTGCAATAGAAAATCCTGCAACTCCATGGAAACAGAACAACCATGGCTACAAGTAGAGACAATTAACGTGTTGCCAATAGGGGAAAACATGGTCCTTGTACATACTATAGATATTTATCTACATTTTTACAACCTCTAGGTGTTTCTTTAGTCAACTCTTCAAAGATATTTCACCATGCAGAATGTATCTTCCAACACCTTGCTCCTCTGTATCCCGTTTGCTGCGTTTATTTTATTGAAGAAGTATACTTTATTTTCTCTTTAGTCTCTCTTGTTGCCTTTCTGCTCTGTGTAGACACAACCTGCAGTTCACCCGAGAAGTATTCAAATTTTTGTCATGTGACTTTTGTTTGAGTCAGTCGTGTAGAATTTTTTTGTTTTTTTACAGGATCCACATCAAGAATAAAGTAATTCTGATGGAATACCACAATTTTAAGCTTAGATTTGGTTTATTTGACTGCAGAAGGACAAGGACTGTTTGAAGAAAAGAAGAAATGGTGTCATTTTTATTTATTTATTTTTTATTTTTTTAAGGCAACAACGTCCTTCAAACCAGCCAAAAACTTTCGGGGTTCGGATGGTTAATGTGATTCTATACACAGTATCGATGAGCAAATTTTGGAGTGTCTCAAAAAGATATTGGTGTGACTTCATTCTGTCTTTCTTCCCTGACGGTCAGTTCCAAATCAGTATTCTATCAAGAAACCCTGGATGTCGTCCATCAGTTCATCTCATGATCTACGTTCTAGTACATTTGATCAGATGGGACTCTAAGCAATGAAGTTTTGTTTAAGCTGGAGGCTACAGTTGGCATTTATCCTGTTACTGTGTGGACTGACTCCAACTATTATGCAACACATCCAGTTGTGAAACTGCTTTAATGCACTTTTTTTTCGCCTGAGGTGGACTCACTTGTGGAAAGTAATGAAATGATAATGTCAGACAAGAAAACTTCACTAATAAGGCATCCATGGTGTGCAATGTTCCTCTAGTCAGGGTTTCATTCATTTAAGTTGATGTAAATGAATGGAGGATGAAACTGATGATACGACCGACAGGAAAGAAAGACACTCGTTGATCGTAATCAAACTGTGAAGATGTGAATGTCGGTGTGTGATTTTGTGTCCGGGTTGTGGGCGCTTTACTAACGTGTTGGTCTTGCATGTCTCTGCTGTCTCATGCAGTCTGCTGGGCTCCATTTTCCCTATGCCTCGTGTAATCTATGCTATGGCAGAGGATGGGGTGCTTTTCAAAGCCTTAGCCCGAATCAATCCTAAGACGAAGACCCCACTTATTGCCACTATGAGCTCCGGTGTAGTTGCAGGTGAGAGCCGGGGAGCATCCGAGTGACTCAGCTAATCTTTCTCCACCAAATCAATTGTGAAAGACGCAGTTGAGTTGATGTAAAAAAACAAATTAACCTCTGTCTGGAATTGGCTTGAAATTATCAAGTTCTGCAAGAGTTTTGTCCTCTGTTGTTCTTTCACAGTTGTGCAGGTGTCATGTTTTCTCTCCCAGAATGCCCTCAACTTAACCATGAACCCTCTTCTCCCTAGCCTGTTGGGCTCCATGTTCCCTCTGCCGCGCATTCTCTTTGCCATGGCACGAGATGGCATTCTGTTCAAATTTATGTCCAAAGTGAGTAAGCGCCAGTCGCCCGTGGCTGCCACCATGGCGGCAGGTACCACAGCGGGTAAGCTCCCGGACCAGGACTCGTCTATCGTGGGGTTGTAATGTGGACTTGTTTGTATCCGTTTGTGGTGGCGACTGCATGATAATGACTTGGTGATGGTGTTTCCAAAAGCATGCGATGAAACCATTACACTCATTAATGAGGATGTTCAAGGATACCGTCATGTTTTAGATGTTATCTACATTCAGCACATTGGCCCTTTAACCGGCCTCAGTACCTTTCACTTATCCAATGCTCTCTCTTTTATGATTAGGAAAGTACCTAAAGTAAGTACAAGTACCATTCACACATATTCACGCCACTTTCAGGATGAATTGTTGTAACTTTGGGGATCCTCTGACCTTTCATCGTTGTCCTAATACATGTAAAACGTTCATTAGCCTCAGCTGTACTTGGTGTTTATTGGTAAGTAGCAAATGTTCAACATGCTAAACTTAAGAGGGTACACATAGTAAATGTTACTCTAACCATTAGCATGTTAGCATCGTCCCTGTGAGCATGTCAATGTAGTATGCTAATGTCAGCTCAAAGCACAGCTGGGCCAATATACAGAACCGCCGTGGTTTCAAAGTCCTGGTCTTGTTTTGGATGCATTGCCGCAGAAGATGTAGTCAGATCTTACATTAAAGTAGAAGTACCACAATGTAGGAATACTGATGCAGGTGAAAGTCATGCACACGATGCACTGGCATCAATATGTATTCAAAATACATTTAACTCTCTGAACTCCAAGCAGTTTCAAGGCGTTTTTTGCTCCTGCCCCATTTTTACTCATTTTTCATCCTCTGTGCACCACTTATTTTATTGATCTGGTATGTTTTATTATTTTCCTCTAAGTTTCTCTTGACATCTCCTTCCTGCTCGGCACAAACACAGCCTGCAGTTCAGCCAAATAGTTAACATTTCTGTCAAGTAACTGTTGGTTGATGCTGCAGTTGCACTGAGGAGCGCAGATTTATTCTTTTGTTCTTTTATAGGATCTGTTGCAAGCAGTACATGTTGACAGATTTCTATGATTTTGAAAAATTATCACAATTTTACGTTTATTTTGGGTTATTTTTTCCTGATGGAACAGCACATTACACATAATACACTGATAAGACTGCAAGATATTTTTTACAGTTTGTAGCTCTGATAAATTGTGTAATTTTGCCAACTTGAAACCTGTCGTGGGTTTTTGGGTTCATAGGGCTGAAGTGCCAAAAAAGGAAAGCCTTCATGAAGCAGAATAGTATACTTCAGAATAATGTACATTATTGGATTATAACTGCATGTGCATCCAAGTGTATGACTTTAATTCTGAAGCTGGTAAAGGTCATTGAACTAGTTTGTATAGTTTACCTGCTGGGTAAAATTTCCCCATTCAAGTTTTAAAAAAGTTGTGTCTTTACCAGTAATATTACATCATCATTTGTTTGTTGAATATATTTAGTATTTATTATTATTAGTATTAATTATTAAAGTAACCTAAATTCTTAAATAAATGCAGTAGAATAAAAAAAGTGCAACATGTTTCTATGAATTTTTGAGTAAATGTTCTGTTACCTTGCACCACTCTTGCTCTGTTTTTCTGGTAATGTAAGAATTACAGCGTGGGCTACAGTTATGCTTATAATGCATAACCACAGTATTTCTCATAGTGGCCTCGAGCTACTTTTAGCAGAGCAGTTTTCAACACAGTCCTCTTCCATTTTTAGAACCCTTTCTACACTTATATACAACACACACACACACTCACACACACACACACTCTGGAGAACACCATCTAATGTAAGGAGGAAATTCAAACAGCTGGGCCTTTGTTGATGGACGTAGTGCTCATACAGTGTTAGGAATGTCCTGTTCTAAAGCTTTTCTGCTCAGCAGGCTCCAGGTGTACAGTATGTAGTTGCACCACAGTCACTGTACTCAGGTGTTGAGACTTGCAGGGTGAATGACCCGGTGAAGTGGCTGGCAGATGTGATCTCTGGCAGATGTGATCTCTCAGCACACCAGCAGCACCACCACAGGCCGTACACTGAGCACCTGATAGCACCGGGGCAGGGGAGCTTTCTCTGTTATTTTTCTTTGAATATAATGTTGTGAGGGGCGGCGGACATACCACTGCTCCGCGTTTGAACCGTGCTGCTCAGATCCGCTTCATGCCGGAGTCTGGTGCTGAGATACGAGTCGGAGAGCTGAGAGGGGCTCCGCAGTGCATCTCACATCAGATGACACTTGGTATGGAGGTGATCACAGCTGTCGGGAACAGTTTTTTTTTCTTTTGCTTCACTGTGAAAACGTGTCTGCATGAACTTTGATTTGCATTTGTTGGATGGTGCATTTCTGATTGCAATACAATTAATGTTGTGAAACTGAATGTGGGTGAAATGTGCTTGTGACTGCTCCTATTCCTCATGAATACAGTGTTAACTGTATTTTCTTTGCTCACTGCAGCCATCATGGCTTTCCTGTTTGACCTTAAAGCCCTGGTTGACATGATGTCCATTGGAACCCTGCTGGCCTATTCACTGGTTGCCGTGTGCGTGCTGATTCTCAGGTGGGTACATTTATATATAAACCCCCAGAAAATATAACTTGTGAAATGCTGTGAAAGAGCTTCCCGAGCAGCTTTTCCAAGCTATTTCCCACAGGCACGATTACCCTGTTTGTTATTGCATCACACCGGTGATGTAAGAGCTGTGAATGCTCCCATTGTATGAGCCTTAAGTGGCTGCCTCAGTAAATGAAGGTGTTTACTCAAGTTTCTGTACTCGCTAAACCCTGGAGCCGCTGCACACCTCTGTTCCTCACACTCATCACCGCAGCCTCAATAAATACAGACTCGATGTTCTTTCCCTGGATTCGGACCTCACTTTGTTTTGTAAAGTAAAACCTCAAACTATTTCACAAGCCGGGCGGTTTGGCAGAGGATAGACTGTTTGCGGACGTGCTGTACATCGTGATACTTTTTATCTATAGCGCCAAACAATATCTGAAAACACTGAACACAGCCTTAGAGCACAGCAGTGTGACTCTCAGGGCTTTAACCTCTCACACTCCTCCTCTATTTAAAGGTAAAAACACCTAAAAGAAGCACAGATCCAAAGGAAATTGGCTGTACATGCATGAATGAGGTCTTGCCAGGCAGTAAAAATGGAAGATTTTGATCTATTTCAAATCTTAAATTTACACAGTGTGCCATTTGTAATTCTGTAAATGCTACTAGATCCCACTTGGAGCAGCTGTTGCAACTTTGGAAAAAGGGTATTTAAGTTGCTCTCGTGCAAAGTAACTAAGAAATAAGATAAAACTGATGCTGTTTTTGTAAAGGCAAGGGTCAGTGTTTTATGCATTTGCAAGCCCCAAGAGAGGAAGGCGAGCCGACCACAAACTCAAACATCCTCAGGTCATTTATGGAGTTAAACTTTACTAAAGCTCAGATTTTTACGCCTCCGTCTTAAAACACACGTCCAAATGTATCTGGCTGTAATTTCTTAGCCACTAAATGCATTAATGAGGTCTTGACAGGAAAAAAAAAATCCCTCAAAGTTTCTTGTGAAAGTGGAAGTGACACAGAAACACAACAGTGAGCGCTTGGTCTGTAAAAAATGGAAGATTTTTGTCAATCTGAAATGTTCAAAGTGATCTTTTACACTGTGAACCATTTGTAATTCTGTAACTTACACCACTAACATGCTGCAACTTGTGCTTAGGCTGCAATCATGTAAATTAACTAAGAAATAGGAGAAAACTGATGCTGTTTTTACAAAAACAAAGGTCCGTGTTTCATGCAATTTGAAGCCCAGAGGAGGGAAGATGAGCGGCCCATGAATGCAAACATCCTCAGGCCATTTATGGAGTCAAACCTCAGTCAAACCCAGATTTTGGTGCTTCTGTCCTCCAGGTACCAGCCAGACGGAGCTCTGGAGCGACAGCCAAGTAAAGGCGAGAGGGATTACCTGTCGTCTGAGGAGGGCGAGTCAGACTTGACGGAGTCGGAGTCCCACCTCAACATGCTGAAGGGCGGCAGCTCCACCCTGCAGACCGTCCTGCATCCTCCCGTCGCTCCTTCTGAGCATTCGTCCAGCGTGGTCAACATGTCCATCGGCGTGCTGGGTAGGCTGGCCGGGTTGACCTCCTTTACCTGCTGCTCTGTCTCAATCATCAGCCTTTATTGTTTGCTTATGTGGCACAATTAAATGTGTGCGTTCTCCCACCACAGTGCTGGTGGTGTGTGCGGTCAGCTACCTCACCACGTACCACATCTACGCCATCATTGGCCTGGAAGTGTGGATCCTGGCGTCGCTGACCGTCTGCCTCCTCATCTTCAGCGGCTGCGTTTTCATGGTCTGCAGGCAGCCTCAGACGAGCAAGAAGGTCTCTTTCATGGTACGTAGCAGCTCCGTCAGATCTGTGGTTTAAAGCTGCAGTAGGCAGAAATCAGGAAAAACCATCAAAAACACCCAAATTGGAAAACATACAGTCTCATCCTGCAGCTAAGCTTCACCCAGGATATTTAAACCCCAACCTCCTGAGGGAAACTCCTCCATCTGATGCTCCGCTTCCACACAGTTCAAGTTCATAATCCTGTATAATATGCTCCATCGTGTTCTATGCAAGGAAATGCAGGTCTTTACGTATGGATAGAAACTTCAGTGCAGTTTTTACTGTCCAGTTTTACTGATTATGCTCATAGAGCTCCACCACAACAAAAACAGCACCAATGATGCATGATTACAAAAAACAAAGTGCTATAGTCTTGTCTGGTGTGTGGCCAGTTTTTAAAAATATTTTGTTCCATCTCTTCCAGCCCTTCTCTTTTCTAAAGCACAGCCCTCATATGAATTAATTGGCCACAACTTTTTTCTTAGAAACTCTCAACATTTTAAACCAAGTTAAAAAATCTATGGGCCTTCCTGATATGTCATTATGCGCACCATTAGCAGGCAGCCATCTGTTTAATCCAGGGCTGATGGATGGAGTGTTCTTGGACTGGAGAAAGCAGGGAACATGTTGTCTTGGAGATCTTTATATCAACAATAAGTTTGCCTCTTTCCCTTAGCTACAGACCAAATTCAATCTTCCTCAATCACATCAGACACTTTGTACATGAGTCCATCTCAGAATTTCCCTCCGAGCCAAAAAAACACATTATTAATGAATTCTTGCATAATCACGTGCTCACTGAAGCACAACACTGGCCTAACCCACTGCACCAACAACTACTGCTCTGAGTTTGTTGGTATTTATGTCCTCTGAAGCTCTGTGATTGGCTCAGATCTGGTGTCACAGTGTGGTTCAGTGGGGTCATGCAGTGTGGTTTCCTCTCAGGTCACTTCAGTTACAAAATGCTCAACAGCTGCAATCTTTTCCCAGTGAAGCCTAAAACTAAAACACTGCCTACTCCAGCTTTAACACAGAGTCCTGCCTGATAAAACAGTGTTCATCCACCATGTTAAAAATGATCGTCTTGGTGTGTTTGTTGCTTTAACAGGTGCCCCTTCTGCCGTTTCTGCCCATTCTGAGCATATTTGTGAATATTTACCTGATGGTTCAGCTGAGCGGAGACACCTGGATTCGTTTCTCTGTGTGGATGGCTGTTGGTGAGTGAGCCGCTGGTCCAAAGAATACAGAAGACTGTAAATATTTGAAGAAGTCGTCTGACTTTGTGGGGGAATGATAACCTTCTGTACAGTAAATACGAGGCTGGAGCACATTAAGCTACCTTAGCTTAGCATAAGAGTGGACGGACGGAAAACAGGTGTTGTTTTTTTTTATGATTAAACAAAAGAGAAAAACATTTTAATGAGAAAACTAGAAAGGTGCTGAAATGTTCATTTTGTTAGTTGCCTTTGAACAGAGTCAAGTTGTGTGTATGCTAAGCTAAGCTAACTGCTGGTTGAAGCTTTGTATTTAATGGACAGATATGAGAGTCAGTGGAGGAAAGTAACTGAGTACATTTACTCAAGTACTCTAGCTAAGTAAATGAGGTTCTTGTACTATGCTTGAGTATTTTTTT